TTTCAGTACAAATCGGCAATTTCATACTTTAACCCCTATTATTATATGGTACTGCATGATTGACAACCGCGCTGACAGTCGAACAAACGAAGACTGTTGCGCGATTGACGCTATGTATGTGATTTTAACGCCCTATAGATGCGGACACTTTTAAGCGCGAACCCGATGTCCATTTATTGGTAGGTCAATGCCTAAAGTAAATCTATGAATGGCAGCTATTTCGATAGTAGAAAATAGATATAGTGGGCTGATCAGTGTGTAATCCCAAAACAGCTCTAGGTTTCAAGTTGAAGAAAATATTTTTATTTAATTATCATTTTGGAGCATTAAATTATAAAAGGTTCTTTATATAGTTGAATAAGTTTGCGAAATAGGCCCAGATACAAATGTGTTTGGGTTGTTCTTCAAAAGGGGCAAAAAACGTCTTCCGGTCAATTATTTTAATATACTAAAATTTCATGACACAATTAATAAGCTTTTTATATATATTTACCATTATTTTACATGTTACCCAGTTTAAAAAATACATCTTTGGTTTAATTTATGAAAAAAAAATCAAAAATGTCGCTAAACGTCATTTTACTCCTATTCCTATGACGTCTCTTAACACAACATTTGTTCACAAATAATTTATTAAATACTTATACATTCTAAAAATTTTATGAATGAAAGTTTAATAAATTAACCTTCGTTTAAAATAAAAACCTCTTCAAATACTTTGCATGGTTAACTTAAACTTCAATTCAAATTATTGCTACAAGAAAAACGTCATTTGTCGCAGTAACGTTGTTAAATCTTATTATTGAACGACGCATTTTCGAACGCATCTTTAATACACCTTCCCGGGTGTGCGGGAGGGGCCTTCAGTCGGCGGAGACCTATTGGTGAACGAGCACGTGCGGGTCTGAGAGCTGTAAGTAATTTTTTATAGTTCTTCACATTTTGTCATTAAAAATATCATTTGTGTTTCAACCTAAACTCCTTAAATGCACATACGTAATATTTTCGTTTGTATTTTATTCAATAGCCAGTGGCAAATGAATTCATTTAGTCTAATCATAACGGTTTTTTAATGCTCACAGACAAGTCCATACAGGTTTTTTCCTCAACTCGTCATTCTATGCTACATCATTGTCGGCACTTATCCGATTCGCCGTCATCGCAATACCGGAATAAATATATGTTTTATATTATCAGTCAATTGTCGTCCCAACACAGTAATATAACTAGAATAACCTGGAATTATTCTGAAGCTGGGCACGGAAAGGGTGCTCCTGATGGCGTTGGTGGTACAATAAAAAGAGTAGCAGATCAAATGGTGCATTTTGGTTCAGATGTTGGAAATTTTGATGAGTTTTACAAAATCATGGAATCAAGATTAGAAAATATTATAATTCAAAGAGTTTCAGAGCAAGACATAATTCAGAGGGAGAGATTGATTCCTGAGCAGTTGAAACCATTCAGGGGCACCCTTTCTGTACATCAGGTTCTTTGGGACGCGTTCAGACCTAAAATCACTATGAGAAATATGAGTTGCTTCCTATGTGATGCTGGTGAAATTTGCTCCCATGGTAAGCATCTGGGTTATATCAATAATAAGTCCTTTAGAAATCAGAACGACGATCTTGATTCTTGTGTAACTCCCCTGGCAAACACTAAGCGTACATCTCAAAATCAAAACAAAATTCAGATTATTTCTAATGTTCTTATTGATGTCACTAATAAGACTCAGCTTCAGTGAAAATTGACCCATTTTGATTATTCCAATTTAGTTGATAATAATTGCGATTGGAATTAAGATGATAATACGTGATATTTTTTGCGTGAAATCTTTTGAATCCTAAAATTGTAAGTAAAAGTATACTATTTGAAACTTAATATTTGTCTATCCTGTGTGTAGATCAAGGATATTACGGGGATGAGGACGCAATGCGGATGCAGATATGAATATTTTTAAGAGATATACATCACGTAGCTAAAATATGTGGAACTCTCTTAATAATTATGTCCTTAATTGAAGAAGTTAATCTGTGATTTTTTAAAATAATTACCAAATTACTATTACCAAAGAAAAACTAAATCCCGTATTACAGAACATAGCTCAATACTAAAGCATTACTTAAAACTAGATTCAAGCCAGTTGATTGGTTGAAACTATTTTTTTTATTTCATCAGTACTCAAGAATTACTTAAAAGTAGATCCAAGCCAGTTGATTTCTTGAAACTATTTTTTTTTTATTTGATTAATACTCAAGCATTACTTAAAATTAGATTCAAACCAGTTGATTGGTTGAAACTATTTTTAAGTAACGCTTGAGTCTTGGTAGACGTTCTATAATACGAGACTGAGTCCTTTATTAGCTAGATGATTAAGTTATTTGAGTGTGACAGTTTGTTTTTAAGAAATATCTAAGTACCTACTTAGCTTCACAGTTACGTATTTATCGCCTCACGCTAATAATTTAAGATTGTCATTTACTTTGAATCCTTTGTTTAATAAATAAATATTATATAATATACTTAATAAATATTTTGATTACTTAAATGTTTTTTTATTGTTAAATACCCAAAAATGAAAGATTTTAGATCATTGTCTGCAACACGGCGTCATTATTATACAAGCTAAAGTCATTCTCAGTGCGTGGTGTCATTAGTATCAACGTGAATAATTAGAAATTTACAAATATTACGAAGAATAATGAAAATTAATACGTGCCTTTCATAAAATAATCTTTTAGAGTATGCTTACATTGCATTTAGCTTGATAAAAATAGCTTACAATAAAGGTTCTAAAAAATATATGAAAACTTAACAAAAATATAATTATTAATACAAAGATCGAACACTCAGAAAAAGCACTCAGAAAAAATTCCTTCGATCCGGTCGGATTCGAACCGACGTCTTCTTGCATACCGTGCCAGACGCTA